ATATATATTATATTATATATATATATATATATATATATATATATATATATATATATATAATATATATTTATAGATCGGCAATGATCAAGAGACACCAATACTCTCCTGTCGTAGATGCCCAACGTATACGATAAAGTGCATCATAATCCATCCAATCTAAACACAAATATAATCTGTCTACCAATACTTTCCTGTCGCTCATGTCACACGTACACGATAAGATGTATCATAAACCATCAACACGAAAAACAATAAAAACAAAATATCCCACCAACGCTTCATGCGTTACCTTACACTACGGAAAGTAATCAATTTGTATATGAAGGTGTCTAAGCCAGAATACATTAGGCCCTTTTTACCATGTCTGGCTCGAGACGCTTAGTGCGTGATGAAACACGTACGAGCATACTCCACGGCACGACAAATGACGCATACACGTGGTATATGGAATATTAATATATAAAACACACACACATACATAACACAATACAATACACTTTGACACTATCCACAGCACAAAGGAATACACCCACATAGCACACACAACACGCTACACCCACATGACACACACACAACGCTACACCCACATAGCACACACAACACGCTACACCCGCATGACACACACACATCGCTACACCCACATAGCACACACAACACGCTACACCCACATGACACACACACAACGCTACTTCCATATAATACACAAGACATGTGTGTGCACGCGACTCCTCTGCATCCGCCCGCACCTGCGCTGTCAGACGGCATGCTCAGCACTCTCGCGACAAAGGCCACAATCGGCTCTATGGCGTTGGCGGCTATGAGCTGGGCATGTGCATGGCTCAGATACATCACAAGGCAGTCGCACCCGTTCTGGATAGCCTCCCCGTCCTGTGTGTTTGACGATTATTGGAGGTGCATGCTTAACTATAGGCATGTGGTGTGTAGATTATTGTATGTGTTTATAATGTTTATAAGGCGCATACTGAATTGCCTGCTATGTAGATGCACTTGGGCGCGTGGAGTACGAGCGTGTTTATGATATAAGGTGCAATCCTGCGACGGCATGGGAACAAATGTGTTGCTCGATTAGAGTGGTGTATTAAGGAGTGCTGAATGAATTTACACGCTTGCCACGGACGTGTGCTCTGACACACACCTGCTATGTAGAGGTTCGTAGCAAACACATATATGTATTGTCCGTATAGGCTCATCGGGACTGGGTTGTTTCTTGTGTATCATCGCTTCTATTTTATTCGCAATATGATTCATTGACATTTGATCATCGTTTCTATCGGCCAAAACCAATTTAAATCGGGCATATGTTGTACATGGGTATCCATTCAATCTAGGCGGGTAATATATAGTCATTGACTACAATTGACTACATTCGCCCAGGTGCACATACTATGTAGCGGTGGCTATTGTTTCCATATACGTCTATGAACAGTGTTGTGTTGTGCTTCATAAGACTGGTTGGTTGTCCTAGAGGGGTGTGCTGAAGGTATACTAGTCCACTAGTCCACTTTCCAACAAAACATGACACACCCAGCCAATACCATCTGTGGCCTGACTTTGTTCTATCATACCAACAGCCACCACCGCTGGCCCAAAACAGACACTGTGCGAGTCTCCCCTCCACAAGCAAAACACGCGATCGCATCTATTCAACACCCTAAACCCCTAAAACACCCGGTCGCACTCCCGATCCGTTGCCAAGCAACGCACTTACCTCTGTTCGATTCAGAAAGCTCATGAGTGCCGGAAGCGCAGTCGAGACCAAGACATCGGGAATGGGCGTGGAGCATGCGCGCACATTGGTGGTAAGGAAGTCCACAGCACTGGCCTGCATGCCTGGAAGAACTTGGCCCTACGAGTGAGACGTGACGCACGATGTATTAGGGTTTAGGGTTTGGGGTTTAGGGTTTAGGGCTTAGGGTTTAGGAGAGTTCTTGATATACATCAATGACTTCTGTCACATTGGCATGCGTGCTAGACTGATATTCCGTGTTGGGTAGTTGATACTTGAGGTGTGGCAAATAAACACTTCGATTTGGGAAGCGACTTGTCTTGTGTGTGAAGCCAAATACCTTACTTTCGTTCGCTGACATTGCGTATTACACTAAATGTCACATGACCCCACCACGCTCCAAAGCGACTGGATGAGAGACCCGCCGAAAGGAACCCCTCTCCACCGCCATGACTTATCTCAACATCACACACTGTCATGTTCCGAACATAAAACACTTGAAGACAGCCACCGCGTGACTATGCTAGGGTGGGGTGGACTAGTAAAGTGGACTAACACCACAACTAACACTTGCTGTCGATATGGCACATCCACTAGCACTACATGACACACTCCCCTCCCCGCGTGGTGGATGCCTCTACTGCTACATAGCACTTCCGCACACGATGAGATACACGCTGAGAAGCGATTTAGGGTTTTAGGGTTTTAGCAGCGAAGGCCCCGATGCCACATACCTCGGCCATGCTGAGCACGGACACAATGGGAGAGAGCGAGCGCCGGATGAGATTGGGCAGGCAAGGTGTCTGAGACAGCGACAGGTACACGTCCGATATGTAGGTGCACAGGACGGGATCGTTGGCGAATTTGATCCACACCGCCACGACCATGGGGCCTGTGTGGTGAGAGGCGTGTCAGTAGGGTGGTCACGCTGCTGTGGAGGGTGATTAATGAATGTAACACGCGATGTGCCTTTATACATAGTAGGATAAAAGATTGGTGCATTTTTTTTTAATAGATGTGCCTTCATATATAGTAGGATAAAAGAGTGGTGTGTGGTGAGAGGCGTGTCAGTAGGGTGGTCACGCTGCTGTGGATGGTGATTAATGAAAGTAACACGCGATGTGCCTTTATACATAGTAGGATAAAAGAGTGTGTGGTTTTTTAATAGATGTGCCATTATACATAGTAGGATAAAAGAGTGGTGTGTTTTTTTTTAATGGATGTGTACGATATCCTTTGCTGGGTGTTGATAGCATACATACGTTCACCACGATCAAAGCCAGGATGGCAGTGGCGACTAAACAAACACGCCACTCAGGTCAAGCACGAGACAGACAACGCATCCCCTGCACCCTGCAGACACCCAAAAAATCACCTGCACACTGTAGACACCATCTCCGAACGTTCGCGTAGCAATAACTGACAGCGCAGGCCAGTTTCAAGCAGAGACTGTCGCAAACATTGGACACTACCACCCACAGGGACACAGTCTAGAGTTTGTCAAACAATCACACGGCCCCTACTCAGTCCATACAGAGCTCGTCCTCCGATACACCCCCGCACATACCACCCCCAACCAGAACATACACAGCTTATCCTCGTATTTGGCTGCCAGTTGAGCGTCTATAGGAATCGCCAGTGCCAACAGATCCAACACCAGCAGCAGCAGCTCTTCAGTCGCCACGGGCAGTAGCGCCGGCAGTGTGGCGTAGAGGGCTGGTAGCAGTGTTTGTTTGAGCGTGTCGGTGTGTTTGCCGCTGTCCTCGCACACAGACTTGGCCGTGCGGAGTGCGAGGATACGCACGGGCATGGGGAAGTCACCCCCGAGTGCGGTGGCACTGTGGGATACCACCTGTGGGAGTGGGAGTGGGAGTGAATGGTGAGGTGGTTTGTTCTAATAATAGCACAGATGCGCATGGTTGAGTGGGTAAGCTACCTTATCGTGAGCACTGGTGAGCCTTCTTCTGCGGATGTGTGGCTTGGTACTTGCTGCTGACTTTCACACACAAACACACGTGCGCGCACAGGCATGCACAAGCACACATAAACACGCACGCACAGAGAGAGAGTGGCTTGACTTTGTGGTGTGAGAGGATGCGCCCGGGTATGGGACAACACCCTACAAATGCGGTGGCATTGCAGGATACCACCGTTGCAGAGTGTGTATGGATTGATGAACTAGGGTGTAGGTCGTTAGTGTTTAGGGTTTCTAGGGTCCTCAGTCTATAACACTGAATATACAGACAACCCACCCTTCCAACATTAACTGAATAAGTGTAGCCCTCTTGAGAGCGTACGCACTCTGTCTCAGAACACTCTACATGCTCCCAAGCAGATATGTGTTATTGCATTGAGTGTCTGTTTAAGCAACCAGGGGCAACCTTCCTTTCAACATACTACCTAGTTCTATACAGGGACACGCTGGTTTACGCAGGCTTATTCCAATACAATATTAATTCTATATATACATACGCTTGTTGGCCTGAACATACATACCAGCGTGTGTGTGCCGGCATTCAGAGCAAACGAAAACTGTCCCGCAAACCACAGCGTGCGCCCAATCAGATACGGTACATTGTTCTGTGTGAGAGATTCCGCAAATACAGACTGTACTATGGCGTTGATGTCTACCGAGGCCATGCTCTTGTGCAAATTTTCGTCCTGGATGATATTCCCCACGCTGCCAAGCCCCAGTAACGCGCCCTGCAAGGAGAAATCATTGTATATACAAGCATATCAATATATACATACAAGTACTGTACGTACAGGCCGTGCTACGGCCCAAGTGTACAGGTACGAAATGAAGCACCTCTGACTATATAGGGTCTCCTGCGCGTAGTATGCTTAGCTGTGCTGTCCACAACTGTGGTGGTTAGCACCCAACGCCCGCCCGTCAGTTGTTCTGTGCCCTGTGTAGCCGATGGCTCGTGATGATGAACAAGCTCGCAACCCGAACTGAATGGGTACAACGTAAGCTTCTAATACCACCTCAACTATCTCAACCCCATCCCTACCTCTGCGGTAAAGCGCTGGCCCGGAATACATAACAACACGTCTCTACTACGCGCCAATATCAATTATCATTGCTACCACTCAGAAACAATATATATATATATATATATATATAATATACATTGCTCGTACCGGTGAGGAAGCTCGCAACCCGAAATAACTATGTACAGCGTACGCTCCCAACCCCACCTAAACTGCACACCCTGACGAATCATCAACGGCACAGGGTACATAAAATACTCACCTCCGCTATGCGCCACCACAGCTTATCGTTGCTACCGCCCGGAGCCATGCGCATGGCCTGTGACTCCTGTAGCCGTTTGCTTGTGCTGGTGAACAAGCTCACAATGGTGGACCTAGGGAGAGCTTCCATCATGGCGGAGATCAGGCCGATACAGAGATTTCTAACTGTGTTGGACATCGATTCCTCTGCAGTGCAACAAGCGATACCATGATTACGGGCGAGGCGCAGTAAGGTGGTACAGTGAAGTATAAGAATGCAGCGCATAACGTAGTTGACAAGGGGCATGGTGGCTGGATGTATATCCATCAGAGAGTCAAGTCTTGCCATTGACAAGGATAACATAAAGATGTATATCTATCGAGGGTTATGTATTGCAAGAGCATGCAGCAAGCGGCCAGAGTAACGGGTGTTTCATGAATCAGCGTGTATTGCTCCAGGCTTCCCTATACATCGTCCCATACATCGTCAACCAATCAGGCATCGCTCAATTGACCTGTGCTCTCAGCCAATGCGACTCAAAGCATATACACACTCCACTACGCACGAATGCTGGCCACCACAAGGGGTACTCAAACATACACAATCGCAACACAGAGCCGCTCCGCATTAGGTGATGAAAATAGTTTCCCACAAGACCGCTTACGCCGTATCAGGGTTATAAATAGAGAATAACGACTGTAATCTCAAGCGTAAAATAAACTATAAGTTGTAGAGAAATTGTCAGACTGTAATCTCAAGTGTAAAATAAACTATATGTTGTAGAGGGATGGTCAGACTGTAATCTCAAGCGTAAAATAAACTATATGTTGTAGAGGGATGGTCCTGTCCTGTGGCAACCACGCACACTGCCAAAAAGGCGGCCGCGAACGCATAACCCCACAATATCTTGAAACATAGGCATTGTGGTATACTATGGAAGTGCTCAATTACCCACAAGCACGTACACATAGAACGCTTGCATAGTCCATTACCCACAAGCACATACACACAGAACGCTTGCATAGTCCATTACCCACAAGCACATACACACAGAACGCTTGCATAGTCCATTACCCACAAGCACATCACACAGAACGCTTGCATAGTCCATTACCCACAAGCACATACACACAGAACGCTTGCATAGTCCATTACTTACAAGCACATACACACTGAACGCTTGCATAGTCCATTAAACACAAGCACATACACACAGAGCGCTTGCATAGTCCATTAAACACAGCACAGGACAGCTCAGCCCAATCATTCGAGAGAGCGCAAGCATACCCGAATCGTCAGCCAGGAATGCGTTGACATCATCTCCCCATGTATCGTGCTGTTCCTCCGTCATCTGCATGCACCCCAGCACCAAGTACGACAGATTTCCTGTGCAGACAACATGATTCGAAGAAAAGAATAGTTAGTTAAATATCATCATGGACACGAGTAGCTCTGCGTGGATTCATTTTATAGATATCCCCGTCCAATCGACTATATACAGTCCGACACCAAGTGTAAGCGATTGTCAGTGTAGGAAAGAGGTCCGATGAATTCTCTGAACCATTTTAAGCTATATACTGCCCAGTGCCAAGTGCAAGAATTGCCTTTGAGTGGCATGAATGGTCGGGAAATAATTTCATAGGAAGAGGGCCACACTAAACACACCCGAACAGCACGGACAACCCATTTTAATCCTTATACAGAACTCTAGACTGGAATATAGCTGATAAAACTTGGTGTATCATCAAGATATTCCGGACACTGATGTATAGATATCATTCATTCGATATCATTCACTGGTTTGTCCCTATGAACTCTACGCTTTGGACTATAGCTGCCATACCTTGGTTGGTCTTTAAGAACTTCTTGTATGTCGGCACACAGGTGACGTTAACCAACACCTCGATGCCAGCACACAGCAATTCTGTGCTACCGCATTCCCCGTCGTCGCCGCTAGTGTCGGTTTCTATTTTTAAAATGGTCGCAGATCTATTAGTTTCACTCAAAAATTGGCCGAAAGATACACCGATTTCTCTATAATTAGAATGGTTGCAGATACAGCTGTTAGGGTGTTCTGAAACGATGCGAGCCCAAAAGGAATGAGCATAGAAATCAGTAGCTGGCTCGATCACTGTGTTCTGAACCGACACAGATTGAGGTGTTTCAGTTTGAGGTCAGGTCAATACATTTCTGCGAGACAGTCAAGACCTGATTATAGTGGCAGAAAGCGGTCAATCCTTATTGCTCGAAACACGCGTCCAGGATTCACTGTTATACCGGTATTGAAAGTGGTGCCCGTGCCGACGGTACGCTGCAACCGTAGAGTAATACAAACACTAATCCAAAAGGAAAAACATACCAAGTCTCAGACATCATACAGGCCATACACTACAGCACGTCCCACATATCAGTACAGCATAGTCGCCGTTGTACACCATAAAGCGTGGGTACGGGGAACACTAGCACGATCGGCTATCAAGAGATAGTGTGAAGTCATCGCACATTCAAAATGAGCAATACGAAGCACAACAACATAATACAGTGCGCACCACTGATTGTGAAAAATAGTACGCTGTCTTACTCCCTTGCCACATCATACCAAAATATATATGCACACAAGTATATATATATATATATA